TGGGGTTTTCTCCGGCATCATTATACCTCGGTCCGACCGCACCGAGCAAAGTGCAGGGCGCCGGCTGCGAGGGAGGAGGAGGAGGAGGAGGCGGAGGAGGAGGAGGAGGAGGAGGAGGAGGAGGGGAAGGAGTCCGGCGCCCAGGGTCGGTCCCCCGAAGGCCGCACGTGTATTGCACACGCCCAGCCAACGGCCTACCGCCTGGAGAGCAGCAACAGCTGCGCAGGAAGGGCACAGGGGGTGACCACGTCGCCTGTGAAGACTCGCGCCCAGGGGTTCCGACATGGTACGTTGGGAGCCCAGGGCATCCCAGCCGGAACAGCTGGCACGGCATACCGAGGAGCACAAGCTCCCCAGCCCTAGGTGGGCACAAGACCCCTTGAGACTTATGTGGCACAAGCCACCGCCTCCCGAAGAAATGCCGATCCCTGAGGGTCAGATCACAATGAAATGACCGCACAAGCACCGCTACCCGCCTTCACCCGCAGGACCAGGCTGAGACAGGGGCCGTGCTACACCCAACGACGGAAGACCCGTCGATACAGGTTTCGCAACGTCCAGCCCAAGCCCCAGAGCCCGCAGTTCCAGAAACATCGGCCAGTTACACCCCGCCCAACCTGCAAATTAAGTGCCGTGTACAGTGTGCCCCGAGGGTGCTCGGCATTGACACCAGGAAAACAAGTGCCAGACCTCACCCTGGGGGCGGAGGAGGTGGAGGAGGAGGAGGAGGAAGGAGGGAGGAGGAGGACGACGAAGAGGAGGTGGACTTTCAATTGAGATAAATTGTGTCAGCCACTAAGTCAGCCTGTACTGCCAGTGCTAGCCTGATACCGTTCAGCAGCTACCCGCAGCTATCTCTACACACCACCCGACGGCATTTGTTCACTCTCTGCTCTCAGCGTGCCGTAGCTCAAGGAGCCACAACCAACACGCAGCTTTGTACATTGCTCACCTCTCTGCCTGACTTGCCTGATCTCTGAAGCTGGACTCGGGGAGGGGGGGGGGGCGGAACTTTGATTCTGGGTGGCTGGGAAGGGAGTACGTACGGCTTATCCCCTTGGGTCTCTGCGCACGGGCCCTCCCTACTCAGGGACCCTGTTCCACCCGAGGAGCCACAGGTGCCCAGCAGCGCGCAGCTTTTATCTACCTAAGGATACCTCATAGCTCTGTGCAAATGACCTCCCTGAGGAGGGCATCATAATACATGTTTGCCGCCAAAGGCTAGCAGTACCCAGGCCGGCTAACACAACTGCCCAGCATACCACTTGCAATGTGATTTGCTTTGCCTACCCCTCAGCCTCTCACCCTAGGCATCCCCTGTACAGGAGCTCTGTGCACCTTGACCCCTCAGCCTCTCTGAAAGCCATCCGACGCCATTGTTTACACTTTGCTCTCAGCGAGTGTAGCTCAAGGAGTCACACACAAGCTCGTAGCGCTGTACGTTGCCTACATCTCAGCCTGACTTACCTGGGGGGGGCGGCACTTGGGGGGGTGGCGGCACTTGGGTATTTTACAGGTTCTATGGTTGTCGGGGAAGGGAGCACGTACGGTCTACGGTTGTCGGGGAAGGGAGTACGTACGGCTACCCTGCTTGGGTCTCTGTGTACAGGTCCTCCCTACACAGGGACCCTGTACCACCCAAGAATCCACTAATGGCTTGCAGCTCGCAGCTCACCGACCTTTGGCAGTCACCCGACGCCACGTCTTACTTTGCATCTTTCCTAATGCCTCCTTGCTTCTACCGAGGCAGCTGGTACCAGAGATCGTATGCGGGCTCAGTTGATGTGGAGGGGTTGTTACTTACTAAGGTGCCTTAGCTGCCCTCGGTTCTACCTGGCTAGGTACCCTGCTGCGCCGCGCATCTTCTGTTCTTTCCTCACCCGCGGCGCCCGCCAGTTATTGCGCCAAGTCGGGCCTCGACATGCTTCGTGGATGCCCCAGTTTCCACGAAAGCCACAGCTGTCTTGCTCGGGTTGGCCGAACGCAAGCGGAGAAAGAGGAGAAAGAGGAGGAGGAGGAGGAGGAGGAGCGACAGGGAGGAAAGCAGGAGTGTGTCGGGTCCGACTGTGCGCGTGGGGGGACCCCCAACGGGGGCTCGGCCCCTCGCCTCGTCGGCGCACCGCGGCGGGCGTCGGCGGGAGCGCCCTCGGCACGCGCGAAGCGGCGGTCGCCGCGACGTGGGGGAGAGAGCCGGCTCGGGGCTGCCCGCGGGGGTGGCGACCGCACCCCCCCCCACGCTCACCACCGAGCACGGAGCAGGTGTGGCGAAGTCCAGACCCTACAGGGCAGTTCTTCATACATTGAGTTCTTAAGAAGATGGGATTTTCTAATACACTTCCAGCATGCTGTATGACTACGGAAATTCCATTGATAACGGCAATGAGCGCAAGCCACATAGCCAGCGCGAATATGCCTCTGCTGCTTGCCATCGACGTGTCCTGTCATTGACTTGTCGAAGTCGTCGAAGTGCTCCTGCAGGAGCTCACCAATCCGACTTGGGGCGGACAGGGTCGAGCACGCTCCTCCAGGAGCTCACTGAAAACTGTCGAGAGCAAGCGCCCTGGCACTGCCGCGGAATAGCGGTATCCGTAATTGCCAATGCATGCTCAGCCCGCGAATGGAAGTCTTGAGCGAAAAAGGCTACGGAGAGGAGGAGGAGGAGGAGGAGGAGGAGGAGGAGGAGGAGGAGGAGGAGGAGGAGGAGGAGGAGGAGGAGGAGGAGGAGGAGGAGGAGGAGAGAGAGAGGGAGAGAGAGAAAATGTTGAGAGGCAGGAGGAATTAGCCGCCGAGCTGCTCCGCCACAACCCTTCGCAGTCCTGTCGGCCTCCGGGGCCGAGAAATCGTCGAGCACGGCACGGAATGAAACGCCTGCAGTGAACATACACCAGCACGCCGACAATCGAAGCACACGCCCCCGCGACACGAGACAGAAGACTTGTGCGAGAGACTGATGCCGAAGGGCGGCTTAATCAAACAAATGGATGACGCTGTTGGCCCTTTGCCCAGTCAATCCGAATTCGACTTGGGGCGCCTACCAGCGAAGATCCGACCCCAATGATATTTAGCGCGCTGGGGGTTGGCGGGTTTGCCACCTATCTTCTGACGGGGATACCTGACATGGATATCCGTTGAGAGGGCTTTGCCACGGAGCACACACACACACACAGATTATGCCCCAGTCCGAACAAGAAAGACCGACACACTTGTGTTCGTCAGTCTCCAGCTGATGCTTCGTCAACGCACGCTGACATCTTACTTGGCCACACCCTCCGACACACTTGCACTGCCAAGCAAACCAAGCTTTCTCCACTGATGCTGCGGGCGGGGAAAGGGGCGTGGGCTCTACATTGCCCCTGGTTGCTTCCGACAGGCCACAAGCGGGCCAAACGGGCAACACCTTTGCTGCCAACCGACATACTATATGGGGGAAACGACAGGTACCGATACCGCTACTCCCTAGACCTCTCTCAGGGTGCGTTCTGACCAGGATTTCGAGGCGAATCCAGCGGTGGCGACGAGGGCCTCCCAGGAGGCCGAAAACTAGGAAAACAGGCGAAGGGTAGAGGTAACGGTACATTTCCCTCCTCTGACAATATTCGCTACATCGACGCACCTGTCAAGCTATTCAGAACGCTCGGGGTAGGCCCCTCACAAATCAAAGCCCCGAGCATTGCGTAGTGATCGGCGACATCATCACCCATCTCACAGAACGACACAAATGCTTTCTGAATCCGGCTCCTCAAGCATGTAACCCTTGACTTCGAAAACCAACTTCCCAGCATGAAGTCGCTTGCACGATGAATGATTAGCAGTGAGAAGACCCCTAGGAGGGCCAAAACCATCAGGGGTAGAGGGTCTCGTCTGCAGATGCACCAAGCCAAACCACCCAGATATCTTGTCCGAAATGCGAAGACGGGGACTTCAGTGAGGCCACGTCTTCACTATGTTATTGGGGGTAGGGGTTCTCTCATCCTCGACGAATGAATGTTTAGCCCAAGGTTTGGCCCACCCATCTACAACACTCTGACAGTCGCGGTACCCCGTGGCAAGCGCAAAGGCATGCTGACAAGCACCGGTGTCGAGAGGGATGAGGAGGATGAGGAGGAGAAGGAGGAGGAGGAGGAAATGGAGGAGGAGGAGGGGGAGGAGGAGGAGGAGGAGGAGGAGGAGGAGGAGAAGAAGGAGGAGGAGGAGGAGGAGGAGGAGTCCAGGCGAGGGTCGAACGCTCGCGTGGGTCCCCGTGCAACTTTTCGGCGGCCCCCTCGCGGCTCACCCCTCGCCGCCGCGGGGCCGCCAGCGGCCAAGCACTGCTGCGTACGTCAGCCCACGCGTATGCGCTCCTGCGGTGGCAGGGAGCGCGGGGAGGCTCGCGCGGGCGCTCGGGGGCCCTCCTCGTCTGCGTCCCTCTCGTCTTCAAACTCCTCCTCCTCCTCCTCGTTCGTCCTCCTCCTCCATCACCATCACCAACATCATCATCATCATCATCATCATCATCATCATCATCATCATCATCATCATCATCATCATCATCATCATCATCATCATCAGCATCAGCATGAGCATCATCATCATCATCATCATCATCATCATCAGCATCATCATCATCATCATCAGCATCAGTATCATCATCATCATCATCATCAGCATCATCATCATCATCAGCATCATCATCATCATCATCAGCATCAGCATCATCATCATCATCATCATCAGCATCAGCATCACCACTACCATCATCATCATCATCCTCATCATCATCATCCTCATCATCAGCATCATCATCATCATCATCGTCATCATATTCAGTTTCATCATCATCATCAGCATCATCATCATCAGCATCAGCATCATCATCATCATCATCATCATCATCATCATCATCATCATCATCATCATCATCATCCCCATGCCTTTCCGCCTCCTGTTCCTCCTCCTCCTCCTCGTCCTCTTCATGCCAATCCTCATCCTCTTCCTCGTCTTCCCTTGGCCCAAGAGCGGTCCGCGAAGGGCGCCGTGCGCTTCTGCTCGTAGTGGCCGTTGAAGTCGAGGCGGCAGAGCAGGAAGCGCAGGTCGGACAGCAGGTGCTGCAGGGGCGGCTGGACCTCTGATCAGACTGGGCATTCTGAGTATCGTTTCACCGATCCCCATCCCAAGCGGCGTGGCCTGGGCCCCACTGGTCGATTTGCCCCCCTAGATGGGGATATAGGTCATTCCCCTCGAGTTTGGTAATTAATCTGGTGGGGGTCTCGAAGGGGATGGGGATGGGGATGGGGATCGGTGAAACGATACTGACATTCGAACTACGGCAAGGTCGGTCGACATCGCATCGGGAAGTCGGGTCGGATTGAGATCTAGGCCCTCTCTCTATTCGCGCCATCCCGTCCCGCGAGGCGCGACGCGCAGAAACCCTCGCGCCCTCGCGCCCCCCTGGAGGCCTCCTCCTCCTCCTCCTCCTCCTCCTCCTCCTCCTCCTCCTCCTCCTCCTCCTCCGTCCCCTGCTCCTCCACCTCCTCCTCCTCCTCCTCCAGCCCAGGCCGCGACGCGCGAAGCGCGGTCATGTTCACGCCCCTGGGGGAGACTAAAGAATCGGAATGCGCGTCCGATCGGGGCTTACCGGCACGGATCGGCCGCGGCAGGACGCGCGGCGTGCTATGCGAGCATCGGGCCGCCTCGGAACGCCGGAGAGTCGAGACCGCACCGCGGTCCAACGCCGACTCGAACCGGATGGAAACGGAACCTGCAGAGGCAACCAGCAGCGAGCTGCTGAACCGGATCGGATCCGACTGCCTGGCGGGGAATACTAAGGACCGACGGATAACCGGGGACACCAACAGGCACCGATACCGCTGCGCCCCGGGCCTCTCCCCGGTTGCGCTCCGACCAGGATTTCGAGGCGAATCCAGCGGTGGCGACGAGGGCCTCCCAGGAGGACCCAACAGGGGAAAACGGGCCAAGGGTAGAGGTATGGGTACCTTTTCCTCCTCCGAATGACAGCAACACCTGTTGTCTTGACTTTTCAGTTGGAGCCTCTCAGCCTGTGGTCTTGGTCCAGCGGCTTGCTTCCTCATGCCCTGGGGCTTGAGCCTCGTCTTTCCCGCTTGGGCCTCGTCGTTCCCGCCTGCGCAACCCGCGGGGGTCTGGGATCGGAACGGGCATTGAAGTGGGCTGCACCGGCACGGAATCGAGCTCGAGTCGGCCTGGACGCGCCAGGATGCACAGCTGCGACGCGCAGCTACCTGGCCGCAGCGGGATCAGCATTGACCGACATCGGGCAGGGCGAGAACGGTATCGGGCCGGAGCGAATCGCAGCGAGCTCTTCGTCCCACTGAGAGGCTTGGATGAGGGGGCCCTGGGACACACAAACAAATACACACAAATAAAAAGATTTCGCATAGTTTCCCATATTTTCTGTGTTTTTGCCGTCCCCCCCACTTCCCATATTCTCCCATATTTCCGGGGGAATACCAGATTAATTGTGTCTGTGTGTGTTTTTTCCCCTCCGGATCTTCGTCCCACTGAGAGGCTTGGAGAAGCTTCGCACAGCAAGTCCCCGTCGCCCCTGCCTCGGCGGCGCCGGCGAGCGGCGCGGACGACAACGGAGAGGGCTCGTCGCCACGACGACGCCGGCGCGCCGACGACGGCCACGAGCGGCCAGCGGCGGCGACGGCGGCGAGCGGTGCTGCAGACGACGGCGGCGGCGGCGACGTCGACGGCACCGACGATACACTAGGAGCCCGACCACGAGAAACCTTCCACAAGGAACCCAACCCTGCGACCCCCAAACGTCCATTGCTTTCAATATGGGAACATCGCGCTCTCCCCGGCAAGACCCTCGAAACCCAAGAAAAACAGGGCACCCTGGAGGCAAGCAGGGTGTTTCTTGGCATGGGTCTCCACAGTATGACAAGCGGCCCAAGACGGCGCCGTCGAAGCCGACGGTCGCCGCCACCGGCGGCCGCCGCCGGCGCCGGAGCGAACGGCGAATGCGAGCACGGCGGGAGAGGCCGGGCCTCGAGCGCCCGCAGCAGGGCCAGCAGCCGCATGAGGAAGGAGGCGCCGACCTCCCGGGGGGATGTCCAGGGACTCAGACCCCCAGAGAGCCTCCTCGTCCTCCTCCCCAGAGAGCCTCCTCGTCCTCCTCCTCCTCCTCCTCCTCCTCCTCCTCCTCCTCCTCCCTCCTCCTCCTCCTCCCTGCTCCTCCTGCTCCTCGCTCCTCCTGCTCCTCCTGCTTGTCCTGCTCCTCTTACTCCTCCTGCTCCAACTGCTCCTCCTGCTCCTCCCTCCTCCTGCTCCTCCTGCTCCTCCTGCTCCTCCTGCTCCTCCTGCTCCTCCTTCTCCTCCTCTCCTCCTCCTCCTCCTCCTCCTCCTCCTCCTCCTCCTCCTCCTCCTCTGCTCCTTTTCTTATTAGTATTATTTCTACTCCTCCTCCTCCTCCTCCTCCTCCTCCTCCTCCTCCTCCTCCCTCCCTCCCCCCTCCCTCCCTCCCTCCCTCCCTCCTCCTCCCCCTCCTCCTCCTCGGGGAAGGCTCAGAACACTTCTCAGACGGCTGGGGGACTTCCGAGCCTTCTGAGAAGGCCCGCCCCTGCTCACCTCCCCCCTCGCCCGCCGCCGACAGTGCTCGAGGACGGCCCCCAGAGGCCGAGACCAAGGAGGAAACGCCGCACATTGATCTGATCTGTGACGCTTGCCCAGGGATCTACTGCGATGACCTGCTCACTGCCGGATCCCCGCCGACTCATCCGCCTGCGCTTGGTTCTGCCAGCCCGGGGCCTGTCGAGGAGCCCCAGAGGTCGAAACGGCGGGCAATGTGTTCCTTGCTCTCTTGTTCAAAACGTTGGGTGTCCGGGTGGTAGGCCCACCTTCCAATCACCGCGACAGGCCAGGGACAGCCGCGTGAGGCGCCAACCGCGCCTGGCACTGCCACAGATCAGCCGCCCCTAGCCTTGAGCAGCGGTAGCGCAAAGCCAGCCCACGAGCGAGGGATGCCCCGGGACGGGGTCGGCAAGACTGTGCAGGTACAGCTGCGCCCTGGACCACTCACGGGGCGCGTTCTCACCATGACCCCGAAGCGCACGCAGCCGCGGCGACAAGGGCAACCAACACGAAGACAAAAGACGAGGGAAGGAAGACCTGTGTCAACGTTGGGACAATCCAAAAAAAGGTACCAATAACGCTACTCCCCGGACACCTCCCGAAGTGCACAGACTGACCAGAATTTCGAGGCGAATACAGCCGTGGCGACGAGAGTCTCCGCACCAGAGGGCGAAAGAGAGGCAAGGGTCGCAGTACAGGCAGGACAGCCCAGAATCGAATCGGATCGGCGGGTATCGGCAGCCGACTCGGGAAAAAAACAAATCAGCGGAAATCGGCAGGCCAATGTGCCTCCAATAGGAAATCTGCATCCAAATCGGAATCCGAAGCCGAATCGAATCGGAATCGGAATCCATAGAAGTCGAATCGAAGCGAGTCGGAGGAATCGAAACGAGCCCTGATTTCCTCCTCTGAGGCATACCCCCAGAGAGCCGATGTCGTGATTTGTTCAATACGGGGTCCCTGGAAGCCTCGATTCCTTCCCCAGGACCGGTTTTTCATCCTCCGTCGTTTTTTGACGGTCCCAATCGCCGGCGAGGGCCCCCAGAGGCCGAAAGTGGTGAAAAACCTCCGCCCTGATGTTTCCAATGCGTTGGATCTCTGGGCCTGTCTCTCTCTCTCTCTCTCTCTTTGAGCAGGGACTGACCGTCCCGGCATTTCTATAGGCCTACCACGAACTGGTCTTAAACCCAAAATTGTTCGAAGAACAGAAACACCGTTCTTAGAACCGAAGCCCGATGTGTGAAAACAAGGCAGTCCGGGCCAGAGTTGTTCGAAGAACAGTCCGTGGAAAAACCGCACCAGGAACTCGGAACACTGCTTGGCAGGCCTCTGGGCACGCCAGGACGCCTCGCCACGCTTCTCGCCATCGCTCGGACGTCCATTCCCTGTGCCTTTGTCGGTTTCGTGCGCGGCGTCCTCGCCAGATGATCGAGGATGCTCCTCGATGGTCCTCGCCGAAGGAAGAATGCACACGCCCGAGCGGTGCCAAGCTCTTTGCTCCCCCGAACGCGGGGCGGGGCCTGGTCCAGCTGCGCGCGGCACTGCGCGAGCGCGCGCGCCAGCGGCAGGGGCCCGTCCAGCTCGGCGCCGAGCACCTGCGCCGCCGGGCCGGCCGCCCCCCCCGCCGCGGGGCCCGTCGCCGCCCCAGGGATCGATCCTCCTCCTCCTCCCTCCTCCTCCTCCTCCTCCTCCCTCCTCCTCCTCCTCCTCTCCTCCTCCTCCTCCTCCTCCTCCTCCTCCTCCTCCTCCTCCTCCTCCTCCGCCTCCCCCTCCTCCTCCGCCTCCCCCTCCGCCTGATGGGCCTGTCCCTGCTTTCCACCACCACAACCACCTCCACCACCATGAGTTGACCCACAAAGCCGTACTAGTACTAGAGGTTTTCCTTGGAGGCGCGCGTCCGACCCGAGCATAGAATAGACACATCTTGTAGTATATCGTTTCCCGAGCGGTGTGGCCAAAAAGCGCACGCCACGACGCATAGACAAGAAGGTTTCTCGGTGCGCGCGTCGCCCCTGGGGGGGGGGGGGGGGGGGCGACGCACATATAGTATGCGTATAGTGGGGTGACGCCGATGCCAGTACAGGGCCCCTGAAGTCCCGACCTTCTCATCCTGACGAAAGATCATGTCGAATACGAGTTTGCAGAGGCCCCTCGGAAACCAGCGAGGGCCCCCCAGTGGCGGAAAACCGCCGCCGCCGCCGCCGCCGTGGTCACCGCAGCCGCCGTGGCCATCGCAGGGCCAGCCATCCGTCGCGGGCTCGCTGACATGCATCGTGCTCTGGAACCACCGTCCTCCCCCACTGCCTCCTCCTGCTTTCCCCCTTTCCCCCCTTTCTCCTCCCTCTCCCCGTCCACCCTCCTCTTTCTCCACATTCTCTTCCTCCTCGTCCTCCGCATCACTGCTCCACGAAACCAACCCCTTCCCATCCACGTCCTCCTCTTCCTCTTCCCTCGTCCGCCTCCTCCAGACCCTGTGAACAACCTGGTGCGTGGTGAGCGCCTCTGTTACCGATTCGGGGCGTTCTTGAATCATCTTGGAGGCATTTGGGGGTCTCTGGGGCCGTCTCACTCTTGGGGCCGCGTGGGACGCCTCTGGGGGCCTTTGGGGGGGTCTGGAGGCCCGGAGCCTCCATGGAGAGTCGAGGCAGCTGGCTGGGTGCCACCGGCACTGTATTCAGTGTTTTCCACGCGCACACACATACATACATATACATACATATACATACATATACAGACATATACATATACATACATACATACATATACATACATATACATACATATACATACATATACATACATACATTCATACATACATACATACATACATACATACATACTTACATACATACATACATACATACATACATACATACATACAGACATACAGACATACAGACATACAGACATACAGACATACAGACACACAGACATACAGACATACAGACATACAGACATACAGACATACATATATGCATATATATATATGTAGATATACATGCATACATAAATACATACATGCATATATACATACATACATACATACATACATACATACATACATACATACATACATACATACATACATACATACATACAGGCATACATACATACAGACAGACAGACAGACAGAAACACAGACAGACAGACAGACAGACAGGCAGGCAGACAGACAGACAGACAGACAGGCAGATAGATATGTAATTGATAACGGTATATATATATAGACATATGAGCCATACATCCCCGAGCCAGGCATGCTGGGCCACCGCAGTCGGGGGCACGGTGCCCCCCGCTGCCCCCCATCGCTGCCCCACGCCCAGTGAGGTGCCCTTGCGCTGGTCGCCGAAGTCGGGGGCCGCTGCCTCACGTCGCTCCCCCCCGTAGATCCCCATGTTTGCACCCCACCGTTGCCCTGGGCGCCCGAGTTATCCGGGGTAACTCGGGTCTGAGGTAACTCGGGTTTGGATCCCCGCAAAGAGGAACCCGAGTTAGCCCTGCCCCGAGCTACCCCTGATGATGTGGGGCTCTGGGCGCACGAGTTATCCCGGGCAACTCGGGTCTAGGGTAACTCGGGTTTGGAATCCCGAAAAAGGAACCCGAGTTAGCCCTGACCCGAGCTACCCCTGATGATGTGGAGCTCTGGACGCCCGAGTTATCCGGGGTAACTCGGGCCCGGGGTAACTCGGGTTCGGAATCCCGAAGAACGAACCCGAGTTAGCCTTGACCCGAGCTACCCCTGATGATTCGGGGCTCTGAACCGTTGCCCTCCATCGGCCCCATCGTTTCCGCCCATCGTTGTCCTCGATCGCTGCCGGTGTGAAGCTGTCTCATGCACTCTGCTGCAGAGCCATCACTTTCGTATGTGCTTTACGTCGGGCTCTGAGTACATCGCTCTTTCGCCCACGCGTTGCGGCGTACATATGGCGTGAGTGATAGTGACAGCATGAACCAGCCAAGCTCCCGACACAATGGGCAGCGTCTTGGTTGGGGAAACATGGCTGCAGGAGAGAAGCGAAATCTAAATTTAGGAAGAGGACAAAAAGGGAATAAAGAGGCGAAGATCCCCAAGCGCCTGGCAAGCATGGAAAACGCAAGCCAAGGGGGGGGTCACTGAATGCCTATAGCAACTGTTGTACATGTTTCCGTGATTCGGAAAAACTGTTGAATCGCGCGCTCGTGGGTTTGTGCCACTCCTGGAGACATTGTGGTGTAGATGGCTCGGAAGAGTTGGCGCTCCAAAAAACCGACTCACACTGAAGAATGCGAACGGGTCTCCGAACACGGCTGAACAAAACGCAACTGAGAGACAGTTGCGCAGAACGAGCATGGCGAGCGCAGAGACGCGCAAGCGGTGCCTCGGGAGGGGAGCAGCATACCACGAGGACCACAGCGGCAAGGGGAACGACGCGCTTCGCATGTCTGTGGGGCTTCCACGGGCCCTCTGGGCGCAGGTGGTTCAGGTGCTTCTTCTGCCAACCCCCTCCCTTCCCCCCCCGACCCCCCACGCCGCAGGACTCCCCACCTCGCTGACGCCATGATCTTCGAATAAGAACTGGAAACACGGCCTGGAGGCACAGCGCGAGCGCGGTGAGCGGGGGTAGTAGGGGAACGAAAAGTGACATAAACATAAAAACTCGGAGGTCCGCGCGGATTTCTTGGATCCGCGCTGGACCCCCTCCCTGGCGCGCGGAGCGCGCCAGGGGCGGCGCCGGAGGCGCCGCTGGGGGGCCCCAGCGCCGATCCGAGAAGTCCGCGCGGACCTCCGAGCTTTTATGTTTGTGCCACTTGTTGTTCCCCTATGGAGGCCCCGCGCGGCAACTTCAGACCCGAGCTGCGTGTGATCCACGTCGGATGCACGTCGCCCCGCTCTCTGCCAATCTCTGACCCCGCTTGCCTGCCAATCTCTGACCCCGCCCACGCTGTGCCTCCATATATGGAGGCACAGCGCGAGCGCGGTGAGCGGGGGGAGACGGAGGAGCGCGGCCGCCGAGCACGGCACACCGGCACGGCAGACCAGCAGCACAACACGGCGTCCGTCGTGCGGCGTTGCCACGTGCCGGTGCGCCGTGCCGCTCCGGTGCGGCGGTGCCCGGCGGGAGCTGGCCCACAAGGAGCCTTCCACAAGAGACCCCACACCGAGACCCCAGGACGTCCATTGATATCTGCTGTGGGCACGCCACGCTCACAAATATCTATATATAACTATATAATTACATAACTATATAACTATATAACTATATAACTATATAGAAACACAAATAATAATAAAATAATAAAAATAATAATAAACATAAAAATAATAATAATAATAGTAATAGTACAAATAATCATAAGAATACTAATAACAATAATGATAATAATATATCTGTGAAATATATCGGAGGTGAGGGGGTGAGATCAAAGTGGAACGGAGAGCCCCCCTACCGGGAAATCGATTTCGGTTTCGTGTTCGTGCGTGCCGTGCGTGCGGGCGAGGCGAAGCTGCGGTGGCGGGCGAGAGAAAGTCTCCTGTGGCTGAGGCGCGGCCGGACCAAATGTCTCCCTTCCGGGCGGCCGGGGGCCCGCGGTGTCCCGCCTGTGTCCCGCTGGTGTCCCGTGTGGCTGAGGCGCGGCCGGACCAAATATCTCCCTTCCGGGCGGCCGGGGGCCCACGGTGTCCCGCCGGTGCCCCGTCGGTGTCCCGATTATGGTGATGATATTGATGATGATAATGGTGATGATGATGACGATGTTGATGTTTTGTTTTGATGATCGATAGTGAGATCGGTAGTGATATCGATTGTGAGATCGAACGTGAGATCGAATGTCAGATCGCTTGTGAGATCGATTGTGAGATCGATTGTGATACCGAATGTGAGATCGATAATGAGATCGATAGTGAGATCGGTTGTGAGACCGAATGGGATATCGATTGTGAGATCGATTGTGATATCGATAGTGAGATCGATAGTGAGACCGAATGTGAGATCGATTGTGGAATCTATTGTGAGATCGATAGTCAGATCGATTGTGAGATCGATCGATTGAGTTAGTAGTGAGATCACTATCGGTAATGAGATCGGTAGTGATTTCGATAGTGAGATCGATGATGAGACCGAATGTGAGATCGATTGTGAGTTCGGTTGTGATATCGATAGTGAGATCGATAGTGAGATCGATAATGAGATCGAAACTGAGTTCGATAGAGAGATCGATAGTGAGGCCGAATGCGAGATCGATTGTGAGATCGATTGTGATATCGATAGCGAGATCGATAGTGAGACCGAATGTGAGATCGATAATGAGATCGATAGTGAGTTTGATAGTGAGATGGATAGTCAGATCGAATGCGAGATCGATTGTGATATCGATTGTGAGATCAATAGCGAGACCGAATGTGAGATCGATTGTGGGATCGATTGTGAGATTTATTGTGAGATCGATAGTCAGATCGACTGTGAGATCTATCGATTGAGATCGATTGTGAGATCGGTAGTGAGTTCGATAGTGAGATCAATCGAGTGCGACGTTGGTCCCTCCCCCCCAACCTCCTTATCGCCCGAAGGGTGGTCTATGCGGTATATATATATATATATATATACACATATACACA